TGTCTTCATTTTAAAAAAAAAATCGCAGCACTGTGTACTGTCTTCTGGTGTACACAGGCCAGCCCTTACATGTCATTTGTGTACGATCTGGTGACAGGTCTTGCATGCAGCAACAGTCACACAATCCTTTAGAAGTTTTACTGCAGTAATGCTAATCCCTTCATGCTTGGTAGATTTCAGCTTTGTTTTCAGTTGCTTCCAGTCACCAGTGCTCAGTTACCATAGGAAAATGAATACACTAAAGCCACTTGCTTTACTAACTAATGCTAGTTCGGCTAACAGTTTGTTGGCGTAGACAGAAAATAGGAAATTGACACTTTCTTGAACATTTGAAAACCCTTATTAAAATATGTTTCTAGCTTTATGCTGTGATCACAAATAGATGGTTTGCTTTTTGGGGGGAATTGCTTTTTAGAGCTGCTTGGCTAACAAATAGGAATAAGTAGGGCTGCAGCTAACAAATTATTTTATTTGCTTCAATGACATCTGTCCTACCACCACAAAAGTAAAGTAACCCTCTAGATCAGTGTTTCTCAACCTGTGTCACCTCAGGACCCACATTTGTCCTTGGTCATTAAGCTGTAACCCAAGTCACACTGCACTGGAACACACGGCATTGCGGTACCACGCGTTCTGGTGCGGGCGATCGAACTGTGGATGGGAGATGCGTTTGAGGTGCCATTCAAATGAATGGCAATGCAACACACCTCCCACACCAGAATTCACGGTAGGTGCAATTTTGCGTGGTACAGTGCGTTAGTCGCACGGGACTGTACGATTAACGCACTGTACTAGTGTGAACGGGCCCTCAAAAACACTGACAGACACGCACAGACACAATTTCACACACTCATGGGCATTCTCACACAAACACATACACACTCCTAAAAAAATTCATTTAAAAAAAAAATGTTTAAGATCCACCCAGTCTCCCTACCTTAGGTAAACGGGAGTGGATCCTCAGCCTGGGGTCCATTATGGGATGCTGTGCTGTGACAGAGCTCCATCCATATGTGAATTGCTGGTACAGCTCCCTTGTGTGCCCTGTAGTGTTTCCGGAGCCAGATTGTGATGGTCCAGGCACCTCTACAGTACTTGTAAGGAAGCTGTAAGCAATGCATGTATGGATAGAGCTCCCTTGCGGCCATTGCCCCACCTCAAGCTGGCACTCAGCACCTGGCAGCATATTTTGAGTGGCTGCTTGGCGTTCGAACTGACAGTGATAAGCTAGGGGGAGTCTGAGGAACCTCTCACCTAGAAAAGGTATGCGGCTACCCACTGAACAAGGGGTTGCGACCCACTTTTGGGTCACGACCCACCAGTTGAGAACCAAGGCTCTAGATCCATGAAGGTCCTTTTTAAGCACGTTTCATTTAGAATTACTGCCTGCCTACCCTATGTGTCTTGGTAGCCTTCCAAATATCCTGTGCTTTACTGACTTTTATGAAAGTTAACATTTTACTATAGCTAGGCACTTCTTCTCACGTGGGCCTGGCAGTAGGTTCTTTAGGAGACGAGTAGTACTTTGTGGAATAGGGGAGGGGAGGAGTGTGAATGCGCCATAACCCAAATTTGTTTTTTTTATGTGTCTGTTGTGGTGTGGAAGTGAGCAGAAAGATTCAGTGCCATAGGGTGCCTCTTGTGCACCTACTGGGTCATTTTGTTTTATTGGCTGTATGACTGGGTTGCTTGTGGATTATGTTGTTACACAGATAACCTTGCAGATGCATTTTTGTAACAATATTAATCTTTTGTTGATCTTTATGTTTAGTGAGCAAGATCTTTCAACACAACTTATTTTAGCAAAATGAAAATGTTTTCCCCCCCTAGTGTTGGCCAGACATCTTGGCTAGAGTTCTCTCTCTTTCTAGTTACTTTCACTGATGACTTTGTCTGAGAAAAGTAGCTGTGCCTACTATGTTACTTTTTGTTAAAGAGAATCTAGTCTTCTTAAAGTATACCTCTCATTAATAAAACAGAGCAAATGCATAAAAAGCAGGAAATTAGAAGTGCTTGTATGTACCTTCAGAAGTTCACAACAATGCCGATTGGTATCTGAAACCCGGACTACTCTATTATGTAAGCTGCTGCCTTGCCCTGTTCTGCAACACAATAGGAAGGCATGGGGATGCAGGGCAGCCAAGCTTGCAGAACTCAAAGTACTTACAGTATACCTTCCAGTGCTTCTTCATTTCTGGACCACTCATTTTTAAATATGAGAGGTGTAGCATCCCAAAAAACTATGCCCCCTGATCCGGGCAGCTCCTTCTATAGTAACACAGTTAGGGGGTTGAAATCATTTTTCAACCTTAGCTCTTATTTTTCAAGTAGGGGTGCCGCGTCTGTCGGGCTTCTCGATCTTCTGGGTCTGAAACATTCTTAATGCTTAGGTCCGGAGCATCTTAACCAAGGGTTACAAGCTGGAGTTCCACTTTGCTTGCTGCTTTTAGACTTTCCAAGATCACCCCAAAGATGAATGACTCTTCTCACTGGCACAGGTCAGCTCTTTGACCAAGGGGTCATACTCTCTGTACAGGTGGTGAAAAGTTCCAGGAGTTTTAGTCCAACCTGTTCACCGTCTCCAAAGCAAAGAGGAGGAGACCGCCCTATTTTCATTCTGAAGATTTTTCTGCTGCACCAAAACATCATAAAGAAGTGTGTCTCTATTGGGACGTGCTTCTGGCTGTTAACACCTCAGCCACAGCTTCCATTCACAAGTCTGACTCTCTTTGTCATTCATGAGGGTGCCCATATGGGCAGCCAGCGTCTCGTTCCACTGTTGCTATGTGGATTCAGCAAACTATCACTGTGGATGACTAAAGCTGAGCTGCATATTCAAGATAAGGTCTAACCAGTGTTTTATAAAGGGGTAGAATTATGGATGTATCTTTTGAATATACTGTATGTTCTTTTTAATATGAGTGTATTCTGCTAGCTTTGTTGGCTGCATATGGACACTCCAAATCCCTTTTTTTCTATTATAGATTCAACCAGAGGAGCCCCTCTCAAAGAGTATGTTTCATGTATATTTCTAGTGCCCAAGTACATAACTTAAAGGGTTATTAAACCCTTGCATGTTTTTGCATATACGTACTGCTAGCAAGCAGTAGATATATGCAAAACGATTAAAATAAAACACAACTTTTTCAAAAGGTTAATACTTACCTGTGTCTCCGCCGCGCACTCCTGTCCGAACATCTGAAAATTTCTCAGGCGGCTGCAAAGGGTCTTGGGGCATGCGCAGTTCAGATGTTCGGCCGGGAGACGAGGAAAGGCACAAGGTAAGTCTCTATGGAGCAGCGTGCACTCGCACAGACACCATGGGACATGAGGGAAGAGGAGGACAGAGGAGTCGGCGCTGGATCGGAGACCCACACCAGCGCTGGAGGGACATCTGAAGAAGAAGATGATCGGATTAAGAGGCGTCATTTAACGTAAGTCCTTACACTAACATTGGGGGAAGGGGGAAAAAAATTAGCCTTTAATGCATTCTTCTTGCCATCTAGTTCCATTTACCTCTATATCCAGTGCCCTCTTTGACCCTCGCTCACTATATGGTATATTCTTGTCTGATCCCATCCACTGGCATTCCATCTAAATTGCGTCTCATTTCCTCATAATGATATGTGGGTCTGACGAGCCGTCTTTCATAAATCAATTCTGGCTTTTACTTATGATACCATTTTACTTAACATGCTTGGGTATATTCCCTAACCAGCCCCTCAAATCGTTTACATAGTATTGATGTTAAACTGACGGATCTGTAATTTACTGGCATACATCCCATGGGTTGAATGAGTGAAATCAGTTTCCTCATCCATACTAAATAATGTGGATGGGGGGAAAACTTCCCTGCCCGCAATTGTATTTAGGCAGCAGGCAGCTCGCCGCTGCCTGAACAGTGACTGCATCTGATTTGATTGCAGTCACCGTTTGGCTGACAATTTTCCATCCGGATCTTTTGATTTTTCAATTGAAGGTTATTGAGCCTGGTGGTGCTAACAGGGCAACACATGGCTCGAAAATTTGAGTCGCATGTGGCTACTTTACCAAAGCTTAAGTTGACCTCATTTAGTGGCCCATTATAAATCACTGCAGTATAGGTCATTAAGGATATGAAGAAATTGTTATTAATTGTATTCGTAGCGAGACTAGTTTGACTTTTGTCCTCATTTCTTTCAACAATGTACCTTCCACTATATATTGAGAGAACTTTAACAATTACATTTGTAATCTCTAGTCTGTACATTACCATCTCCAGAATCCACTGCAGTGTTTCCTACCTGCATCTCAATGAGGAACATTCTGTTTAGCATGGATATCACAGATTATTCTTAGCACTTATCAGGAGGCTTATCTTTATAGGGGTGCCACTGCAGCAGAGGAGGGAACAGCTGATCTTTATTTGCATTTCTACTGGGAAAAAAAATACTGATACACTGATATAGTAATAAAGTAATGAATACAAATGTAAGTGAAGAGTACAACAATTCAGCGTTTTACTTAACGACAAAATAATTGAGACTTTAAAACGACATAATTTTGCAGACAGTAGGTGTGCTTTTTTTTCACCTCATTTTACCAGACTCCCACAATGGGCAGCTGCCCTGCGTGTTAAAATCATTTCACCAGGCTGTTAATAACGCATGCCGTGTTCTGATTTAAGCTTTATCCTCTGTATGCTTGGAATGCTCGACTGTCATCTCTTTCACACAAATAACAAAATAGGCGAACAAAGAAATGTATCATCAGTGGAATACAAAACTGGTAACTTTCATACAAAGCATTATCATTTGTTTTGATAGTAAATGCTTAATATTGCTGAAGACAGAATCTTGCCTGTACAATTTCAGAATATCTTTTAGTTTTATCAAATGGTAGTGTACAGTAATATATAGTTATCATTCCTTAAGTGACACAGAGTATATTTTAAAGGAGAACTATGGGGTCAGTGTTTTTCCCCATAGTTCTCCTTAGGGTAACGGGAGGACACAAACTAGCGTCCTCCCGTTACCCTAAGCTAAGTATACTGCGAGCTACAGCTCGCGGTATACTGAGACGCCGCAGCCGGAGCGGATCCCGGCGGAGATGACGGGATCCGCCCAGCTGCGTGAGTGACAGCTGGCTCTGCCTCTAGATAGGCAGAGCCAGCTGTACCCGCCCCCTCCCCCGTCCGTTCTGCCAGTCAGCGCTGGCAGATCGGAGAGGGGAATCCAGCCCCTCCCCCTGTCACGGCAGAGAGCCGTGACAGGATCGAGAGGTGAGGGAACCTGGTATGTGTTCGCTCACCTCCCGATCTACTGAGCCGACCTGAGACAGTCTCATTGTCACAGGTCGGCTAGAATTATGAGGTGAGTGGAAATCACTCATCTCATAGTTCTCCTTTAAGACAAGAGGGTTATACTGCAGCCTACAGCAGATTTGATCGGCAGGCCGGGAGCTTTACATTCAAGCGACCGGGCGCTCTAGAGACCGTTGCCGGTCCCGAGATCCGCTGTGCCCAATGCGGCCGGGACTGGCACGGCTCTGTGACAGGAGATCAAAGGGAGTTCAGTATACAAACTCCCTTTGATCTCCTCTCAGTCCCCGAATGCAGGAAGTGATGTATATTACATCACTTCCTGCATTCAGTGTCACTCTCCAGCTACAGAAGCTGATGAAGCAGATCTCTGCTTCATCAGCTTCTCTGGGGTCCCTAGGTGACATTAGGGGTCTTGGAGACCCCTGATGTCTCCATAAAGAGGACATGTCATATAAATTGTCTATCACATAGGGGGCTTCTTAGCCCCCCATGTAATAGCAATAAAGTTTTGTGTGTAAAAAAAAAAAAAGTAATACAAAAATTAAAGAATCATAAAAAAATAAAGAAGCATAAAAAAATAAAACTTTTTTTATGTCCCCGCCCCCCACATACACAGTAGATATGCGTTGGGTGCTCCTACCTGCGAAAACGACGATTGCGACACACATGTTACATATGGCCGCAAACGTCGGAGTGAGAGCAATAATTTTAGAGCCATTAATCACTGATAACACTAAACTGATGAGCGGTAAAAGCGTTTTAATCGTCGCCTATGGACGCTCTTTTGCGATTTTGCGGGCGCACGCAATTTTAAGGCTTGACATGTTTGGTGTCTATTTACCCGACGTGACCTCGATAAAAGAGTGGAGAAAAATAAGCCAAATCCGACACATTCCACGCAAAACTCTAAAAATGGACTGGACAAAATGATTGGCACCTTCTCCGAATTGCAAGAAATAATTGCATTCCAGGTTTTTATGGACAATCTCAGGGTTACAAGTTCATCTCCAGAGATATTAATGTTCCTGTGTCCACTGTGCGCAACATTGTCAAGACGTTTACAGCCCATGACACTGTAGCTAATCTCCCTGGACTTGGACGAAAGAGAACAATTGATTGAAGATTGCAACGAAGGACTGTTGGAATGCTGGATAAAGACCCTCGATCAACTTCCAGACAAATTCAAGCTGATCTTCAGTCACCGGGTACAACGGTGTCAGCTTGCACTATACGTCGCCATCTAAATGAAAAGGGACGCTATGGTAGGAGACCAAGGAGGACCCCACTGCTGACACCGAAACACAAGCCAGATGGGAGTTTGCCAAAACTTACCTGAGGAAGCCAAAATCCTTTTGGGAGAATGTGCTGTGGACAGATGAAACAAAATGACAGCTTTTTGGTAAAGCCCATCATTCTACTGTTTTTCAGAAAAAGGAATTAGGAGTTTAAAGTAAAACATATACAGCCCCTACAGTTAAACATGGTGGAGGTTCACCGATGTTTTGGGGTTGTTTTGTTGCTTCAAGCAATTGATGTCTTGACTGTGTGCATGGCATTATGAGATTTGAAGACTACCAAAGAATTCTGGGGTGCAATGTAGGGCCCTGTGTCAGAAAGTTGGGTCTCCATCATAGGTCATGGGTCTTACAGCAGGACAATGACCCAAAGCACACGTCAAAAAGCACCCAGAAATGGTTTCAGACAAAGCACTGGAGAGTACTGGACTGGCCAGCAATGAGTCCAGATCTGAATCCCATAGAGCACATGTGGAGAGATCTCAACACAGCAGTTGGGAAAAGGAACCCTTCCAATCTGAGAGACCTGGAGCAGTTGGCAAAAGAAGAGTGGTCCAAAATTCCTGTAGAGAGGTGTAAGGAACTCATCGATGGTTACAGGAAGCGATTGCTTTCAGTTATTTTTTCCAAGGGCTACCAAATATTAATTGAGGGTGCCAATAATTTTGTCCAGTCTGTTTTTGGAGTTTTGCGTGGAATGTGTCAGATTTGGCTTTTTTTTCTTCCACTTTTTGTGTCATGCCAATACAAACAAAAGAAATAAACATGAGAATGCCTAAACATTTGTATTGTGTATATATGACTGTATAATTGAATATATGCTTGTGGATATTTATATGTGCCTCTTTTGCCTTGTTTTTTTGTTTTGAAGGACATATATGCAAAAGCAGTTCATAGCTTTAGTTCTTCCCATGTTTTAGAAAATAGAAAACTTCTGAAAAGTGTTTATACACATAAAAACGTAGCTGGGTGCTAGCTGCCTGTTTGATAGAGCACACATGATCAAAGCTCCAATATAATCCTTCCACTCTAAGCAGAAGCACGCAAATCAGATTAGTCGAGGTGGAAACTTCACATGCATCTGGGTCAAGTAGTTCTGAGGAAATGGAAGTTGTTTATGTTGATGTACCAAAGCATGTTCTAGGCTCTCCTTTACTTTAACTGTACTTCATATGTCCCTTTCTCAGAATTCGTAAAGGCCTCCAGTTATATGACCATGAGAGCTGCAGCCAGAAGTTCCTATTTGCCATGTTTTAATTCTTAGTTTCTGTATGTTTACTACACTAGTCAAACAAATGTGATGGGACACAGCTTATAGTGGATAAAAGCTGTAATTTGTAATATATCCATATGTGTAAATCTTGATCTCTACCGACAGAATTATTTTCAGCTCTTTAAGGGAGCCCTTTTAAATTAAAAGAAAACAATGGGGTAACCTTTTTATCCCATAGTTCTCTTTAGGGTCACGGGAGAACATATACTAACCTCCTCCTGTGACCCAAAGCTCCGTATATAGCAAGCTATTGCTCTCTATATACTGAGGGTGCTGCGCCAGGACGGATCCCGACAATACTGTAGAGATCCACCCAGCTGGCTGATTGACAGAGGACCTCTATGTAGAGGCAGAGCCAGCTGTGCACGCCCCCTCTCCTGTCTGTTCCTCCAGTCACTGCTGGAGAGGGGGAATCCCTGAGGGAAGCATTGACTGTTGGTCACCGCTCTCTGCAGGAAGATGATCGGGAAGTGAGCGAGCGACGGTATACATTTTTTTGCTTACAAAAATGGTATGGAATTACTTGTGTAAATATTCCAAATACATTAGAAAAAGCTGTTTGTTTTACACAGAACCAACTCCAGTTTCTGCCTCTTGGGATCGTGATGCTGCAGATTCAGATGAAGCACGTCTGTCTCCCCAGGCTGGCCACCTGATCCGTCACCTTCTTGAAGCTGATAGTGACCCTATGTTATCTCCTCGTTTTTATGCATATGGGCATAGCCAGCAATACCTGGATGACACAGAGGTGCCTCCATCGCCTCCTAATTCACATTCTTTTATGAGGTATGTATTCATGTTAAAACTGTTTAGCGTATGGATGCATAATGCTGACTTAAAGAGCTCCAGGGAAAAATCGAAATGTAAAGATTTGTTATAGGTAGGGATGCACCGATACCGGTATTTCGAGTACCTAAGTATATTTTTTTGGTACTCGCCGATACCGAGTACCGGAACTCCCAATCAGGAAGCCAGGCGGCGTGTAATAACTCACCACCAGGCTTCCTGATTTGCTGGGCAGCGTGTAAAGACTCGCCACCTGGCTTCCCAATTAGCAATGAATGCTTCTCGTCACCATGTGACAAGAAAGCATGGAGCCGGCTTGCTGGCCAATCATGGGAGCCGGGCACCGTGTCATTACACAGCGCCCGGCTTCCTAATACAGGAAATATCGGGCTAGGCATCGGAGCATTTGGGCGAGTAAGAGTACTCACCCAAATACTCTGTATAGGCACTGATACTAGTATCGGTATCGGTGCATCCCTAGTTATAGGCACCACCTATACTGCTTTACCTGCTAACCTCAGGTCCTTATGATGTGCAGCATACACCAACTTTCTCTTGGCCTCCAGAAATCATAGCAATGGTGCTCACCAATGTAAAGTGTGAATATTGTAAAAAAGAATACTGTTGAGGCTCTGCTTCTTTAGGTGTCCCTTCTCCCTCCAGCAGTAACTTGGTTGGTACATACTGCTGGTCCACCTTTTACAGTGTTAGCACAGCTTTACATAAAATTAGTGGACACATTTAAAGGCAGATTATGTTCTATATAGAGTCTGTATGTATGTACGGTTTGAATATGTAAGATGTACAAACATGCATAAGCCTAAAAAAAAAATAAGTCATGTAGAGCAAGATTTACTGCTTCCTGAGTAAAATCAGACTCTTCGGATCCTACTCTGTGTTGCTATGCTAACGTCTTGGTTTTTTTTTTAGCCGTAGACGCAGCTCTTCACTGGGATCACATGAGGAGGACAGAGATGATGACCTCACACCTGCACAGATGACACGAAAAATTCAAAGTCTAAAGAAAAAAATCCGGAAGTATGAGGAAAGGTTTGAAGAAGAACGAAAATACAGGGTAAGGGTTTTCCCCTGAGTTTCTATTTTAACATGGCCTGGACTGCTTATTTCTTTTTAATATTTAAAAAGAACCAGCCAGTCAGAAACAGGTATTTGTAAGAGTTTGAGTCTCCACTCCTAATTTGTAATACCAGAGCAGCCTTAATTATCAGGGTAGCGGTTTCCGCTTTTATTGTATTATCTTTCTGCCTGAGTATCAAGGAATGATGCCCATGGCACCTTGCTAACCTGCGTGAGATCCTTGTTTGGAGGAGGAGTAGGGAGAGCTTCTTGCATACAATCTGGTGCACTTTAAGGGGTGTGAAGCACTAATTCCCACATGATTTTGAGATTTCCCAAGCTATGCTGTGAGCTGAAATGCCAAAGACGCTTATTTGCATATCCCCATCTTAACATGAAAACAATGCTTCCTGCACTTTGTTGTGGATGAACCGCATTTCCAGTTTGTTGCCCTCCCTGTTGGCTTTTCCACTGCACCTTGGGTCTTTGCCAAGGTGATATCTGCTCTTTCATTCCCAGGGTATCCCCATACTGGGTTATCTAGACAACTTCCTTCTCTGGAAGCAGTCAGTTCAGACTCTGTCAGCCAATGTCCACTGGATTGTCCAGACTGAGCAATTTTAGTGGATCCTTAGTCTCCAGAAGTTGGAGCTGGAACAGTTTTATCATTTGAAATACCTGGGTCTTGCATTCAGACCAGTCCAAGATATTCCTCTCTCATGACAAACCCCTGGTTATTCGCTGCCAGGGTCGGACACTGCAATTCTGGATTCAGCCTACCCTCTGCTTCTGCATGAAGATTCTGGGTAAATGATCGCCACTTTGGAGGCAGTGCCGTATGGGTAATTTTACTCCAGATCACTGAAACATTTTAGCAGCAAGACCAAGCTTGCCCTGACATAGTGGAGGATAAGCCCAATGCTGTAGTCAGGAAAATCCTGCCTCCATCTGGTTTGGAAGGTTCTCACAACAAACACCAGCCTCTCTGGCTGTGGCAGGGTCCTGAATACCCTCTTGGTGCAGGGGACTTGTCCTTTGGAGGAAACTCTTGTCCTTTGGAGAAAGCTCAGTTCAGTCAGACAACACCATGGTGGTGGCTTACATCAACCATCATTGTGGGACCAGAACTCTTGCAGCTCAAAGAGAAGCAAATCAGATTTTGGCCTGCATGGAACTCTGCTAAATTGGGGTCTATTTACTGTGCACATCCCAATAGTGGAGAATTGGCTGGCGGGCTTCCTCAGTCATCAACGTTGAGACTCCGATAGTGGTCTCTACACCCTGAGGTATTTTGTGACCTTTGTCACAGATGGGGGGCGCAGGACATGGACCTCTTGGCCTCCGGGTTCAGCAACAAACACTCCAGTGATTCTCATAGCGCTTGGCCAGTTCGGAGGCTACTGGTAAAAAAATAATTTGTTAAAAATCATCCCACTTTTATATATTTTAATGTCGCACGGAGCAGATATGTTAGCCCATTGGCTTCGGCCCCCTGTGTAGGCCAACTTGTCTCCTGCCTGAGTTCAGGGCTAATAACTGAAACTATGTTAAAGCTGCTTAAGGAGGATAAACCTTACATTTAAAGAATTGAAAAAAGTTTTAATTTATTTTATCCTGACACCTTTGTTTTGATCCTGATTCTGAGTGTCTCTGATATTGGGTAAAAATTAGGATGGCCTAACAGCCTGCCTCTTCTTCTCTGACAGGTAGAAAATACCAATAGTTCATGATATAAAGAAAAAAAATAATAAAGTTATCCCTATAATAACTGTAATAAGAGTTTATACTCTGATTACAAATAATTTTTTTTTCTCCCCTCTTCAATTAAATAGGCCTTTGTGAATGTTAATTTACTTCTCTGTTTCCAGCCTTCATATCGTGACAAAGCTACAAATCCAGAAGTTCTGAAATGGATGAATGAGCTCACGAAGTTCCGGAAGCAGCTTAAAGGTAATTACAAAGTTCAACATAGACCTCCTGCTAGTCTGATAACTGGAATGTACATGTCTCTCTTTGTTGCCTGGCACCTTGGAATTCCTGTTTCTTAGCTACATTTGGTAGCTGGTAATAACTAAATGGTGGGGTAAATGTAATTTTATGTTTTCCAATGTATTGTAGATTTACATTTTTTTCAGTAGACATTAAAGTGTAATTTGATTAATGTAAGCAAAAAAAAAAACCTTCCAACTACAAAGCAGGTAGAGCTCTAGGCTGTACTTTAAAGAGGTAGTCACCTTGCCTAGTCGTGGCAAATTCTTATTATCTGTGTAAATTAGTCCATCCCCCGACCATTTTATAATCACCTGTTCAACGCTTCCCTGCCATTCCTTCATCTGTCGTAGCAGCCACCAAAATACGTAGGGGTGATGTGGCGTCACCCTGTCCATAATTGGACATTGCTCGACCTAGCGATTGACAGCTAAGCCCATGCATTGCATCATGGAGGAAGTTGGAGGTGGGGGGGGTGGCTTTACACCAACACTGTCACTTTGCCTTGAATAGGAAAACTAACCACTTGCCGTCCGGCCGTTGTAAAAAAACGGCCGGCCAGGCGCTCTCTAGATCTGAGCGGGCGTCTAAATGTCAGGGGTCTGTTTGGACCCCTAATATTTCCCAAAGCCCCCCCAACAGTAAAAAATAAAAATAAATGATTTTAAACACTTCCCGGCCGGCCGTTGTAAAAAAACGGCCGGCCAGGAGCTCTCTAGATCTGAGCGGGCGTCTTTAGACGTCCGCTCAGCCACGCCCCCTCGCGTGCCGCTGGGTGCGCTCGAGCGGCAAATGCCGATATTTGAAAACAGGCAGCGATGCCCGTTAATATACAAGCAATCCGCCAGCTATAGAGTCGGCGGATTGCTTGTATGAGGTCCCGGGATGTGCGCCCCCCCATGTGTGGTTCATATCATGTATTCAAAGGTCTTTATGGGGACAAAATGGACATTGAAATTTAAAGGTACAGGGTGAGAAATGTTAAAATGGCATGCTGAAGCAAATATTAAATCTTTGTTTTATGACTTTATGGACACTTTAAGTAATGTATATATTTTGGATTATATGAAATACGGCTTTGGCATTAGCAAGTATAATTTCACATGTTGTATTGCATTGTAATAGACTCCGTGTAGAGAATTTGTATAAAGTGTAATGTCCAGAATAGAGGTGATGAATGTTCAGCAGACTGGCACATAACACTGTATATTTGGTTGCAGCAGTGTGAAACCACAGCAATATTACATTTGACATGCTTAGATATAAAACTTTTTTTTTTTTTTACTGTATTTTGTGTGATCAACTTTGAATTCTGTTATTTAAGAGTCAAAAATCAAGCTGTCTGAAGAAGATGTAGTTCCGCAGATGAGACAGCGGAGCAATACACTCCCGAAAAGTTTTGGTTCCCAGCTTGAGAGGGAGGAAGAGAGAAAGCCAGAGGTAGAAAAGGCAACTAAGCCTTCCATAGAAACTACAATGGAAACTATTCAGAAGAAGCTGCAGGAGAAGAGAGCTGAGGTCAGCCGTCCAGAGGATATTAAGGTATGGAAATAACTCTTATGTTTCTACAAAGAGAACGGACAGATCATTTTTCACTTTTATAATGTACAGATATAGTTGTGACTAGAAACTGGCACTTTAATGTTTAAAGGTGATTGCATTTTATGTATAATGTTTCCTGAATTAGCCTTCTAATAGAGCTAGCCTGATTTATTAAGTACCCTGACACAGGTCCCTTAGTGTTTCTGGACCTATTAAGTACTGTGAGCATAACCTGTTCTATCTGCTGGAGTCCCCAAGAGTAAGATGTGTAATGTCATTTAGCAAGTTTTAGGGCTTGTTCGCACGACGTCCGGATTCTGTCCGGACTAGATCCGTGCGCTCATGCACCCAAAATGTATCCCTATGTGTTTTATGGGCTACAGTTCTCACGAGCGCAGTCCGTTCCGGTCCGGACAGAAAAAATACTGCATGTCACATTTTGTCCGGTCTGGAAATGCACGAATGCATCAAAAACGCAATGAAAACACACCGAAAACGCACTGCAGATAACATACTGACAGACACCCACAAAAAAGAAAAAAGTTGTTGTTTTTTTAAAAACTGGAACACATCAAAAACTCGTCAAAAACGCACTGCATGCATAGCACTGCGTCTCCAGATCTGGACCAGAAAATCGTGTGAACAAGCCCTGTACACACGATGTCTGGACCGGATCTGGAGCAGACCTGCAGACGCGATGCTATGCGTCTTTGACGCGTTCCAGTTAAAAAAATATATACAGGTGAAACTCGAAAAATTAGAATATGGTGCAAAAGTTCATTTATTTCACTAATGCAACTTAAAAGGTGAAACTAATATATGAGATAGACTCATTACATGCAAAGCAAGATAGTTCAAGCCGTGATTTGTCATAATTGTGATGATTATGGCTTACAGCTCATGAAAACCCAGATCCACAATTTCAGAAATTTTTTGGCAGTGTGGGCAGGTGCTAAGTCCTGCTGGAAAATTAAGTCAGCATCCCCATAGAGCTCGTCTGTGGAAGAAAGCATGAAGTGCTCCAAAATCTCCTGGTAGACGGCTAAGTTGCATTAGTGAAATAAATGAACTTTTGCACGATTTGGATGCATTTTGGGTGCAAGAGCGCATGGATCTGGTCCGGACTGAATCCGGACGTCGTGTGAACAACCCCTAAGTAGTCTGACCCTGTAACATTTATTATTATTATTTTTTTTTTTTACCCACCATTTTTTGTAAATCATTTTTAGTCATTAATCCTCAACACTCTTGGGTGGGGTTTTTTTTTATATAAGCTTTGCTTGTATTTTGTATAGTTAAATGTATTAGCCCCAACATCTCTACAAGTGGATCTGTCCAAATGAATACAATGATGCTGCAGTCATTTTGTTTATTATTTATGTATTAGCATGGCGGGATTGGAAAGTGAAGGTATTTATTTTAACTTTTGTTTCAGTTTGAAGGCTTCCGTAATGTAACGGGTAGATCATCTCTCTTTCAGTAAATGTAATAAATGACTTGTTCTGTATGCACACTGGTTTCATTAATGACAGCTAGCACTCCTTTGGCTTTTAGGCTTGGATATTACTACAGAATCCATTGATTTCTTTTGTTTTCTAGGATATGACCAGAGACCAGATTGCAACTGAGAAAGTGTCGCTTCAGAAAGCCTTGCTGTACTATGAAAGTGTTCATGGCAGACCAGTATGTTTCATTATATTTCCTTTTTTTTTTTTTTTTAAACCTATATCGCTGCTCATTTCGTTTCCTTCACAGATTATTAGAGCCTAATATACTGTCTGAGGGTAACTAGAATATTGCTCACAAGTACACTTAAAAGTATTCAAACTGGATTAAAGGAGAACTATGAGGTGAGTGCTTTTCACTCACCTCATAGTTCTAGCCGACCTGTGACAATGAGACTGTCTCAGGTCGGCTCAGTAGATCGGGAAGTGAGCGAACACATACCGGGTTCGTTCACCTCTCGATCCTGTCATGGCTCTCTGCCGTGACAGGGGAAGGGGCTGGATTCCCCTCTCCCCGCTCCGATCTGCCAGCGCTGACTGGCGGAACGGAGGGGGGGGCGGGTACAGCTGGCTCTGCCTCTAGATAGGCAGAGCCAGCTGTCACTCACACAGCTGGGCGGATCCCGTCATCTAAGTCGGGATCCGCTCCGGCGTCTCAGTATACCGCGAGCTGTAGCTCGCGGTATACTGAGCTTAGGGTAACGGGAGGACGCTAGTTTGTGTCCTCCCGTTACCCTAAGGAGAACTATGGGGAAAAACACTGACCTGATAGTTCTCCTGTAAGTGAAAAATTATATGGAAACCATTACATTTTTGTAGTGTCTATACGTTTGTGAATTTTTCGAGTGCAATTCTCCTCTAGTTGATTTTAGGCCTTGTTCACACATACAGCAGTGACCTGCGTTTTACTATACTGGATCAAAGCAGGTGACCGCTAGGACACAGAAAACAATTACATTTCACACAACTGTGTTACACATAGAAAACAATTGCCTGTCCACTAAAACAGAGCATTTTATTGGAGAGACTGGTGTTAACCGGCCATTAGTCTCTCCTAATTTGAAGCTGGCAGTCTTGGCCAGTGAAAAATTATATAGAAACTTAGTAATGCCTATACGCTTGTGAATGTTTAGCATAAAATTCTCCTCTTGTTGATTTAGTCTCTTCTAACTTGGAACTGATGGCCTTTTCCATACATGCATCAATGTGTTTATCTAAGTTGGCACTTCCCAGGAAGAATCTGATGAAGGACCAGCAGAACACCTTCATTTTTCTTCTTAGGACAATTAAGGGAAATTAGGAGTTGGCTACTAGAAACTGGTAGATGTTGCCATGGTTGTATTAGACGCCCACTCTGCAGATCTGACCATTATCTAAAGAGTTAATGGAATCCGTTTCATGTTCTCAACTTGAGCTCAGTAAGCTTAGGAAATTAACTAACAGGCCTCTCATATATTATATCCTGGCTGTCAGCACTCAAAGACTAGTTCCTCTCTCTTGTAAAGTGTATGTAAACCCTAACAATGAACTTTTCTTATTTGCTCCTTATTGCTAATCCTGCCAATCTGGTGAGTTCCTAATTTCTTATAATGAGCTGACAAGACAGTGCCTCTGCTGCACTGGAAACACAAGGAGGGGAATTTGTCAAAATTGGAGCACACAGAATCTGGACCAGTTGCCTATGACAACCGTTCAGCTTTTCTCTTTTTTTTTTTTTTTTCAAATCTTAACTGAACAAACATGATAGATGCTGATTGGTCTTTATGGGCAATTGCTGCAGATTCTGTCTGCTCCACTTTTGATAAATTCCCCTCCTTGTGTTTTTAGTGCAGCAGAGGCACTGTCTTGTCAGCTCATTATAGGAAGTTAGGAACTCACCGGATTGGCAGGATTAGCAATAAGGAGCAAATAAGAAAAGTTAATTGTTAGGGTTAACAAACACTTTACAATAGAGAGAGGAACTAGTCTGAGTGCTGACAGCCAGGTCTCTGCAGCTTGTCAATACTTTTGTTTTTCTTTTTAACAAAAATAAATCTGTAAAAAAAAAAAACCGATTCATTGTATGGAGATGACCTATTCTTTTCTTGTCCTCCTTCACCAATTTGGCCCCTTCCTCTAGTGAATAGAATCTGAAAAAATGCCAAATTCCTAATTAAGAATCATCCTCTTTTTAATATTTGTTTAGCTTCAATTCAGTCGGAGTGTTACATGAGTCAGGTCACGTTTAATGTTTTTAACTGAAACTTTAATTAAAACGACTTTGTTCTTGGCACTGGTAGTTTGTGGAAAAGTACTCACTGCTTCAAAGCGATTTTATTAAAATCAGCCAAGCCAAAAGTCAGAAAGCTAAAGAGCATAAAGTATTGTAAGCCTATTAGTTTGGAGCCCCTTTGAACCACAAGTATTTTACTTACTGAGGACTTTAATAAAGCTCTATAACGTCATTTACATAGGTGCAAAAAGTGTATCTCAGCAGTCTTTCCTGCTAAACTGTGAAGCGGTCATCTAGATCAGCGTTTTTCAACCACTGTGCCGCGGCACACTAGTGTGCCGTGACAAATATTCATTTTTTGCTTAGGAACACTATAAATATATATTTGTCCGGCTAGGTGGCCTTTGATGGAATTCTCAAAGGTTCCCCTAAATATAAGGTTGGGGTGTTTCTCAGACAGCTGATCAATGTCAAGCTGACTGCGTCAAGGGGAAATCATCTGCCTCTTTCTCCATGTGCGATCACCTCTGAACACCTCTGTCTTGAGCTGTATTCAATTTCAGCATATCATATTAGAAGCTTCTTTGGGGCAGATGTGATGTACAAAACTGCTACAGTATGGTAGTCAAGGACTGTCATAGTGGACCTATCTTTCTGTCCACGTTTTATTGTTAGGTGTCATTTCATAAATGTGCCCATAACACAGCTTTACGGAGTGCCAGGTCCTATCTCTTTTTATTGATGTAATACAAAACACTACCATACCACAACAGACATATAAGGCAAGTTTGGAACTTGGCATTGGTTCCTTATGTCAGTAGGGATGCCAACACATAAATCTGCTGCATTGTGTGCTCTGTTACCTTGTATGCTTTCCTTCCAGCCATGGATACTTTCCAGATTAAGTGTCTGTACTACCAATATTAACCAATCAGATTGTTTTTTAAGTAGAGAATGAAAGCGAGCATTTGCTTCCAACGATAAAATAATTATTTTTGTTTTTAGACAGGAAAATCTATCTGTATCTATCTATCTATCTATCTATCTATCTATCTATAGATCTATAGATAGATAGATCTATCTATATATAGAAGTTTGCATATGCTGGTGATTTTAATCAACCTTGACTAGTCACCGAAACATGAAGCCCTTGACACCGCAGTATGTCTCTTGTTTTTTTCCCTCCTTGTAGTGGAAGTTTGTTTCAAGCATTGCAGAATTGCCAGAAACGTTCAGAGTTTAATGTGAACATTAATCACAGTGACAATAAAACAAATGTTTTACGCTGCAGGATTCAAAGTACTAACAGCAACTTTGTTTCAATTTTCCAGGTAACAAAGGGCGAGAGGCAGGTGATGAAGCCATTGTATGACCGATATCGGCTGTTCAAGCAGGTTCTCTATCGAGCAAATACCATACCAGTCATTGTAAGTCAAGCTTCCTGTTTGTATATCTCATGCTGCCATTGTGCTCAGATTTCTTTCTTTCTTTCTTATTTACAGCATTTGATTTGCGTTACTTTTTCTGTGATGGAATCTTAATTTGTGCAGAAGGAGGAAAACATTTATACTTGATTGGTACAGTTATGCAGCACAGCTAGTTGGTAAACGTATAAGTAGTTTTGCTGTTTTGAGCTCAATAGACATTGTAAGTCATGTCTCCAGCTGTACATTGAGCACTTTGTTAAATGTGTGTCCACTTTCAAAAGAGCCGTTTATAATCCTAGGTAATACAGTTGTTCATAATTGCTGACTAAACCTGGCTGGAGATTTTGCACAGTCAACCCACAGCCACAAATCAGGCAAGATAACCTCGCTCCCTTCAGTCAAGTGCATGATTTCTGAGGGTTACTATCATTTAGTATGCTTTGCTGCTCTTTTAGCTCATCCATCCTTTCTGCAGTAGCATGACTTGACTATCTGGAATACCTGCAGATTAATACTCCATCAATTATGGGTTGCCTGATTCTAAGGCCCCGTTCACACCTTTACGTTTTGTCGCGCGTTCAACGCTCTATGAATGCTCAACAAAACGTACAAACATGAAAATCCCATTGTTTTCTATGGGTCTGGTTCCCACCTTTCCGTATTTCCGCCCGTCTGAAACGCCCTACAAAACGGACTACGCTCAAACAAGTACATGTACTTCTTTGGGCCGTTTTGTAGGGCGTTTTACATTGGGATACAGCCAAGTAGCCTTCGGAATCGCGCAACTTTTTTACCGCGAATCGCGGTAAAACAAAACCGCGCGACGGTCGCGCATATGCAATACGCCTAGGTGTGAACGAGGGCTAATAGTTTATTGTTCATCACTGCTGACTAAACCTGGCTGAAGACTTTGCACAGTCGGCCCTCAGCCACAAATCAGGCAAGAGAACCTCGCTCCTTTAGTCAAGTGCATGATTTCTAATGGTTACGATCATTTAGTATACTTTGCTGCTTTTTTAGTGTTCTTTTGTTTTTAAAGAACAAGTTCTGCAATCTGAAAACACATCATATTAGTTAAAGAGGCACTTTGACCTGCGACAGTTATAGCTCGCTCCTCACCGCCCCATACTGAAAGATATACTTGCCTGTCCAAGCTTCTGCACCATGTTCCTAGTGCAGGGGTCCACCCCGGCTAAGTTCTAGGGTCATGTGTTCTCAGAGCTTACCTAGGTCAATGAGTCACTGTGCCATCCATGTGAGAGTGTTCAGGCCTGGCAATTAGCTGCTTATGGGGGAAGCCACTTGCTGGAAGAGCTGCCCTGTTAGAGCAATGGTGTAAGAGTTCAAAAGAGATGTGTATTAGGAAGTGTTTCTTGCTGTGGGCATTGGTCTTTCAGGAGGCACTCCCATTTGCCCTGAATAGGCAATGTTACTATGTCTCTGTAAAAATAATATTGATATTTAATATGGTTTTTTCTTATAACCCTTGAAATCTTTATCCTACCATCACTTTACTTCTACCATTTGAGTTTTCTGTTTTAACTAAAAATGGTAAGCACAAATTATATTTTATTTTGGTCAGTGTACAGTTGCTGATGTTCATTTGGTGCAAAAGTTTGTCTTGATTTCCTAAATCTGCATACCAAAGTTCCAAATGCAAAAGGACCAAAATATGTCTGATCACTGTATAGAATGCTTAGCCTTTGCTCCTTGCTTAGACTCAGTGCAGCTCATCCATCCTTTCTGCAGTAGCATCAGATCTGACTTGCCTACCTGGAATACCTATTACTATTCCATCAATTATGGGTTGCCTGATTCTAATAGTTTATTGGATTGCTTTTCCATGGGAATATCTTGACTTATGTGCCTCATTTGTCATAATATTTGTGCACATTCAGCACTAGACTTACAGAGACTATATAATAGACACACACACAGATATTTTAAATGTAGATGTTCAAATACTTAGGGATCTAGTCATAAAGCAGTGGTATGGAGCTGCCCTACAAAAATAGTACCTAGTACCTAGTCATGTGGCCGGCCCCTTTTCCAATCACATTATGAGGAGAGAACTCCATGGTACACTGCAGGTTTAACATTGCAGCCTGCATTTTATAAGTGGGCCAGACTGTCATTGCCTTGTGGTACAATACTCATCTGCCAATAAAAATTATGAAGAATATAAAGTTATTTAATTGTATGGAAATTGACCTTATGGAGAGCCCATACTTGAAGGGTTGAGTGCATGAAGTCCAACGTGTAAAAGTACCCACTTAAGAGACTGGAGAATCTTTTGTGCTCCACAAGAAATTCCTGGTGAACACATGGTTTTGTTTAGCAAGCTAACACTTTACCTGACACTGGACACACCTCAATGGCTGCTTTCTGGATGAAAGATACATGAAAACTGCCACATGCACCATCTCAGTCAGATGTCTCATGAGAAACCAAACATCAGAAGAGCTTTCAGATCCCTGAATGCATCAGGTACCCACTGCGTATGTGCCCTTCAAGGCTCTGGTCACACAAAATATAACCAATTAAATATGTCATTTATGGGTAGAAATCACTGGCTTCTAAAAAAAAAAAAAATCCTGACAGGATAGGCATATTGAACTTAACATTGCTGAAACAGGTGCTATAATTTTTATGTTTTTTTCATTACTCTGAGAGTCTTTGACTTGAAACAAGTCCATGTCCATAGCCGGTGTTTGAACACTCAACAAAACAGGCTTGTTCTAGTTAAGTGACTCTCCAAGTAATGAAGGAAGGATAAGGATGGCAGCACCCCGGAATTCTAGCCATGGAAACTCCAACATTTCTATCCTAACAGAAGCTGCAACAGTGAACACATTAAACCTAAATTTTCTGCTCGATCCACCTGCCATTCCCTTTTTGAAATTCTCTCTCTCGCACTCTTTCTCTCTCGCACTCTTTCTCTCTATCGCACTCTTTCTCTCTATCGCACTCTTTCTCTCTATCGCACTCTTTCTCTCTATCGCACTCTTTCTCTCTCGCACTCTTTCTCTCTCGCACTCCCTCTCTTTCCTGTCCCTCCTTTCTATTCCCCCCCACCCCATTGTTGTAGCAGAAGAGACTCCAAAACATGCAAGAAGTCAGTGAGTGATTAATTCAACCGACATATATCAATTTTAAATGGACCAGACCGTTAATGTAGTAGAATTATGAATCTAAATGATATTTTTATGGTGCAAAGATATATTCTGTAAAAATTGTTTGCACGAAGCAGTGCCTTTGGCGGCACAAGATGTATGTTATTGCTGAAAATGGCTTGTATTCATTGTGTTTCGCAGCGTAAGTTATCACATGATTTATGTGTTATTCTGTCTTCGTCCTTGTTAAAAATGTACCCCGAGTTCTTTATTAATTAGAATGGTTAGTGATGTTGCATTGCATTCTTCCTCTCCTGGTAAATTCAGCAATAGTATGTTTGTGCAAATATAGTCTAGAAATAGGACACCTGTCCATAGTGCCCATTTAATCCTTTATGAAGGACCAATCTGGAGAAGCACTTGAAGAATGTGTGTACACTTGCTTTGACAGAAGCTTTGATGAGTGACATTGAAAAAGCCCATTGGTACAAAAGAATTAATAGGAACAATGGAATGTAGTTCAAGAAGAGTAAATCCTTGAATTGCTGTGGGTTTTTTGTTGTAGTTTTTGTTAACCTGTTTGACCTGTGACCATAAATAAAACCGGAGCTGGTGAAACTCAAAGCGACCTATAGTGGTTTCATCCGCTGCAAGAAAACTTTTTTTAATATGTATTGGAAAATAGAAAAGGGAATTTCGATTAGTATAGGCAACAGACCCTCCCACTATTTGTTCTAGCGTTACGCAGTGTAGTACCCCATGGTCTTCACTGTTGTAAGATCAAGTGGTGATCTGCTATGAAATACCCTTTCCAGTCAGATATAAATTTGGCTGTGGCATGTTTTTGGAAGTCTTGGTTACAAGCCTTCCTTCCTGTCAGGTTGTGCAATTAAATAATACATTGCCTCAATTTTTTTTGTTTTTTTAGGCCAGTTGTATGTAGTTTAGATGACCACATCGCGTTTCTGTAAGATATAAACCCAAAACTGTGTACTGATGAAAGTCTGTTTAACTTGGTTCTTAATGTTGCCAATGTCCACTCCACATGAGCTCAATGTGTTTTTAAACGCTGCCTTCTAATATTAGATGCAACATCTCTCTGAGGCTTTCAAATACTCTGCCTAGTGTTTCTACCTATCCTAATTGGCACAGTAGATGCTATAGCTGTTAAGTTCGGGATGTTTTGATAGACAGGGATTTCTGGTGTAACATACTTGTTAACACTCATCACAGGGATCCCCCTCAAGCAAGCGGAGAAGTCCTTTGTTGCAGCCAATAATCGAGGGTGAAACAGCATCCTTCGTCAAGGAGGTAAACTAAAGACTTCAGCTGCTAATGACAAATAACTGCTAAATCTGCATCAATACCCCACCAAACAATCAACCCCCTTAATACTGATTGTGCCTCTGTAATTGGTGCCTTGATTCCTTGCGGCGCTCAAGAAAAATCAGTACCTGCTTGAGTCCAGCTGGTTGTCTGAGCTTCTATACATTACCCATTGCTATGATTGCGTTGACTTTTGTGTTCAGAGTTTGAGATGATTTTCACAGCTTCTTGCTTTTTGTTCCCTATGATTTTGCTTCCTACCTTGTTTATCTTGCACCTGTGTTTGCTGAACTATATGATTTACTCACTGCTTTAAATGATCTTGGTGGTTTAGAAGAAAATGTTTTCCTTACAGGCTGCTTCATTAATGTGTAGTTGTCATGTGTTAATGTTAAAAAAACGAAAACCTTTTTAAAGAATTCTTCAGCTGACAAAATGTTGAAGATGCGATATATGTTTTGCACTAAGGCTGTACAGGAGCCTGGTAGCAAATGTACCAAATATATCGCATCGGAGACCTTTTTTTTGCTTGTTGCCACCTGAAATATTGTGGTCCCTGGCTACTTATAAGGCCCAGCTGTTGTTTGGATTGAGAGGGTCTTAAATTCTCATTAGTTCATCCCTTGGTTTGCTTGGTGCTTCTATAGAGCCTAATTCTGAGCCATCAGCTAGAGATACAGATGCCGATTTATTTATTTATTGCAGGTATTTATATAGCCCCGACAATTTACACAGCACTTTACATAGTTGCACATTCACATCAGTCCCTGCCCTCAAGGAGCTTACAATCTAAGGTCCCTATCTCACATGCATACATACAGGGCCAACTTAGAGAGGAGCCAATTAACCTGCCAGCATGTCTTTGGAGTGTGGGAGGAAACCGGATGTATGGGGTTACTTTCTAATGGTCGCCAGACAATTTAAACAAAAATATTCTCATTAGATCATTTAACTTATTTTAGGCATACTTACCTGCAAAAGCCTCCCTTGTCACATCCAGAAGCCCTGAAATTGCTGCTGGGTGCTGCCATCATTGATGTGGTACACTCACTTTCTTTTCTTTTGCACAATATGTAGCTGAAGTAGCCCAGGGAAGAGTTATGAATCAGGTTATATACCCACAGAATCTACACAGAACTAGTTGCTGCTGCTTAGCATTGCTGCAAATCCAAATCTAATGTAGAAAACGTGGGAACTCTTGACAAGTAGCGATGTTCAGACACTACAGTCTCTCTATATACTGCAGCTCTGTTTGTAAGGACGAAGGGGGTAAGAGTCAGCTGTGCACTATTAGTTGCATTCCTGGCTATAAACGTGTGTATTAAGATGTCGATAGAACAGTGCCTTTGTCTTTTCACACATCTGAAGGGTGGCACAAGACAGTTAATATACAAGCTTGATTATAAAGAAGCATTTCCCTGCTTCTGTTTGCTGCTAACTGGAAAAAAGAACATTTCCAGGTGATACAAAGGAACACTATAAATATGATGTAGTGCTGAATTATGTCATCTGGTCCTAAACCATGACACAGATTTCATCCACAGCTATATATTCAGTTAATTAGAAGTGTATACAGTTTTGACTACAGTTTTCTTTTTTATTATTTTTGTGGGACAAAACATTTTTCTAGATAGATTTTACAGGCTTGACTTGTCCAGGTTTCTTCATCTGATGCTACAAAGAAAAAGTTTAGTCAAGAAAATACACATTTAAGAGATACTGTAGATCCCTTAACCTGTGTTGATAAATCCAGTTTCACATGTCTAAGAAAGCTGCAGTCCCTGAGATGAAAAACATTGATAAAACTATATCTCGTCAAGCTGGAGGTTTAGAAATGGGTTTGAGACTTGATAATGTGTCCTTTTTTAAGGCTTAATATAATGTCACATTAAAAGAAAAGGAAAATGTTGTTTCTCCATTGGCTCCCTCACTGACCATATTTTATTTTAAGTTCTGCAGTATTTGTTACTACATTTGTGTATTGCATTTGGAGAGAGTTGCTACAAACTAGCAGTTTTGATATAAGAAATAGTTTCACTAACTCTGAGCTGGAGATTTGGTGATTTACTAATGTGGTTTGCAGTGAGCTATTGGTGTCCTGCTGCTTATCCCCAAATTTGCATTGACCATGTGCATCTGCTTGCAGGTTAATATTAAGCTTTGTTTTCTCTAATTCTTGTGTACAGGAGGAAGAAGAAGGATCTGAAGATGATGGCAATGTGAACAATGATTTTGCAGTAACTATGAAGCCAGGTTTCAGTGTACGAAGCTTCTTGGATCAACTTGAGGATGAAGCAGATGGTTTCGTGTCTCCAGTTGATGACAAAACTCCATCAAAGAGTAGTCAAGACCTCGGGCTGGGCAATATTCACTCTGCATCTGTGTACGTTGGATTTTGAAACCAAACTCTTTTTTTCTTAATTATGAAAGAAGTGTAAACAAGGATTAGTGAAATGGGGTGAGATTTTGTCAGACTCATAGGCCTCATCTGACCATCCTCAGGACAGCAATACTTCTGAGTGCTGCAGAGCGCTCCATTGAGCTGACGTTGCAGGATTTGGGTGACTCGCCTTGTGTCTCTGGGCTTTCTAGACTGCACTATTTTACAGTCAAAGAAGGCAGAACAAAAATGCAGCCTGGGAGACCCATTAAAGGTAGAATTGGAGCCCAGAGAACAGGGTTTTTCTTTTTCATTTATTGGGAGACACAGGATTCCTACTACACTGCTTGAACTAGTCTCTTTATGCAGCTATCCGGAGCAGCATATCCTCAGCAAAAGCTTTGAGAGGCCCATACCTGGAACCGATTGAATGATTGCAGGACCTGCTTTGAATGTGACCTTCAGGCACTGGGTTTTGCTTGTAGTGCTTTCCAGGCATCTCTGTACAGTATTAATTAGCCAGAGAGCTCTTTCCAGGTCCAGGGCCGTGGCACAGCCTCTGGTAACACCCAGCCTCTGAAGAAGCTTTTGTAAGTAGGTGGTCAGGACAGAGCACTGGAAGCTATTTTGTTTATTAGACCCATTGGGCGCCATTATTATTAGTCCTTGCGGTTGCCTGCAGTGACCTGGTCTCCTTCTGCCTTTTTTACCTTTGTATATGAGCTAAATTGTTCCCATTTGTGGTCAACATGTTGTATCACAAAAACAAGAGGTTCCCAGTATCAGACGTCTCTGGCTCACAATCCACTAACCATTCGGGACGGCCTGCAGTGTTTCCTTTCAAGGAACTGACACAGACAGCCTGGAACATTCCTCCATGACTTTATCAGGTGTGGCCCCCTCCCCGGCTTTGACCTAGTAGGATTTTACCACAGTTAAACACAACTTTATGAGCCAAATTGCAATGTTTATTGCTGACTCTGATTACAGAGGACACAAATTTACCTTCAGACCTACCCCTAAAGAATCATTATCTGCCTGCAGACTTTCATCCTTGAGTTGTAGATCCTTTATCTGATAGTCTCATAAATCCCTACAAGATGAAGTTGTCCCTGAGGAGACACAGGCAGCTGCCATAACTCCTAGGCTTGGAGAGACCATTTTGGCTCTTATTATTCGTGTGTTACGTGGAGGTGCAGCCTATAGCTTCTAGTAGTGCTAGTGCAACTACCCATGCAGACACTACTTCCAGATATTCTGTACCCTGACTGGAAAAGCCAAATGTTTTTCAGTCTAATACCCATTTGAGGAGGCCTTTATTAAGAAATGGACTGTTCCCACAGTTTATCTGGAAGTATCCCATCTTATTACAGCTCTGTCTATCCCTGCAGAGAATGCAACAGTATTTAAACAACATTTAGTATGTTTGGTATGAAGGGGTCCCTCCACTTTCTAAAGTGGGTAGACATCAGTTAGCCTTTCTGCAGATTTGGACAGACAGCATCTCAGATGCCTGAATACGAGAGGTGGTTTTAAGGTGTTAAGCTAGAGTTCCGCTTCTAATCCCCTTTCTGCTTCACGTCTTTTAACCTCCCGGTGCCAGCACCCAGATTAACAGAACTCCTTGCAGCTCTTCTAGACCAGGGGATTATCACCCCAGTTTCTGTTTCATGGATTCTATCCCAACCTTATCACCGTTCCAAAATCAAAATGAGGCATACTCCCCATCTTGGATCTCAAGGTCCAGAATCACTTGGTCCAGAACATTTTCTATGGGATCCACGAGCTCTGTCTTAAAGGCAGTCCTGTTTTCCCAGTTTTTCTCCAGACCTCTGCAACATATTGTCATTGTGAGACAAACTGGTGTCAGGCGAATAGGTTTGTACGGAGACTGAACTGAAGACCAGGTTGTCTCTGCCCTGGTGGCTCAGGAATGCAGCTGTGTTGAGAAAATCCTTCCTTCCGACCTCTATAATTATTACAATGAATGCCAGCCTGAGAAGTTAGACACCCTGACAGTGCAGGGGACTTGAGGCTAGAGAAATTTCAACTCCTGATCAACATTCCATGGCTTCAAACAGTTTGGTTTGTCTCTGTAAAACTGGACATCAGGGAGGAACCAGAAGCCTTGCCATGGTAAGAGAAGTAGAATTGTTTGTGAATGTAAAGAACTACATGTTCTAGCCTTGTCTTCTCTTCACATCACAGGAGGAAGTGGAAGCTCTGGTGGTTCGTTCAGATTGGCACAACCTGTTCTATACCTTTCCTTCCCATAAACTCCTTCCTCGACTGCTTTGCAGGATCAAGGGTATTCTGGGGATAATGAGACTCATGACATACACTCTGTGGACTTTTCCAGATTAACCCGATCTTCTGTCCCAAGGACCGATTTACCATCCTGCTTCGTGGTCGCTGGTTTTAATGGCAAGTCTTGAGGGCAGGGGCCTCTCCGATTCAGTAATTGCTATGATGTTAAAAGCCAGGAAGCCCATTTTCTGCAAACTCTACTGTTGCATATGGGAGACATAATTTGCTTAGTAGGAGGAAAGAAACATTCATGGGATGAATCCTGACCTTTTTACAATTATACCTGGATCAGCAATTGGCCATGAGTACTATTAACAGTCCGATTTTGGCAAATGCGCTTTTGTTCCAAAGACGGTTATCCATTCTTCTTTAAGATCTTTGTACAGTGTGTTTCTCATGGTGCTTTCCTTGTGTGCCCACCTGTGAGATTTGAATTTAGTTCACTTGCACTCCCCTTTTCCATGCTCACTCTTCATATTCTTTTCCTTGTTGCCATCACCTCTGTAAAGCACGATGTTTCCATAAAGAAACATTTCTGATTTTACACAAGCCTCCTTCCTTCCCAAGGTGGTTTTGGCATTTTACCTAAACCATGGCCTTGTGCTCCTGTCCCTCTGTCTGGCCCCAGTATGAATTTTCCTTCATCGTCTGAATGTAGTTCGGTGTGTACACATCTATCTCGCAGCAACTGACTCCCTTTGTCATCCCTGATGGTCCCCGCAAAAGGGAACCAGCTTCTCATTCCACCATTACTAGGTGGCTCAGACAAATCCTCAATCTAACATGTGGTCTTAAGGACCAGGTTCTTAGGCTTTTTGGCATCAGGCAACTGTTTCTCAGAATTGGAAGGCAGCCACCTGGTCTTCTATTCACAAATTCTCTGTCTTACCATGTTCAGTAATCCTTTAATGCAAGATTTGACGGTAAGGTTTTTCAAATTACTGAGCTGTGGGCATTCCCCAGTTTTTCATTTGGACTGCTTTTGGACTTCCCAAATGTCTATGAATCCTGTGTTCCTCAATAATAATAATTAAAAAAAAAACAGGAATTTTTTACTTGCCATAAATTCCTTTTTTTTTTGTTCAAGTTTTTTGAGGGAAACAGGTCCAACTCCTCTGTTTATGATCTTGCTATCTGCACTGCTCTGTTACAAAACTGAGGCATACTGGAAGTGCGAAGAGTTATACCAGGCTAGACACTTTCATTTTTTGTTTGCCTGTGTCCAAATCCTCCCATAGGTGGCAATATAACCTAAATGTCTGTGAATTTTGTGTCACTCAGTGAATTTTAACCCCTTCGCTGCCAAGCCCCTTCTCAGCTACTAATGAGAGCTGCTATTTTACAGGGCAGAGTTAGGAGAACCCTTCTGGTGTAAGTTTTTTTTTTTTTTTTAGCGACCATGAGCTTATAGCAGTAGGGTAAAAGCCACTGACGTATGGCATGCTGACGTGGCCAACTGCAAGCTGTTCTGTTCCGCCATATGCCATATTGGTGACAAAACGGTTAAACCAAAGTGAGTACAAAAATCCTATTTGCATGTTGTAAGGCTTATCTCGCTCGACCAATCACCTGCTAGCATTCTGTCAGACGATTACAGAACACAAGTGTTCATTTACATGCATTGAGTTTGATTTTGGATTATTATGTTCTGCATACAGGCCAGAACTTATAGAACAGCTCCAAGAAGCAAGGCAAGAGAAAAAGAGGATCAGGAAGAAGCTCAGAGATTTTGAAGACAACTTTTTTAGACAAAATGGAAGGTGAGTGAATTGGATGTAAGCAGGTCACGCAGCAGGCTTTTTGTTCTGAGAATTGTTTGTTTGCACAGTGCATTCACGCTGCCACTTGAACAACCTGTCTGTATCATTATGCATTCTGAACAGACATCATGTTAATTCTAATTAGTGTCTCTGTACTGTTCGCTTTCCTCTCTGCAGTGTGTAGGCTTCAGGCTTTTGTTCTGTCATTTCAAAACTGTAAGGCTGTTTGTTATGTCAGGCTTTGTTATATTACTGCTCCTTCAAGTGCTTTTACTTGTCAAACCCCCAGGTGATAACCATGCCACAAGCTCTTCTAAGTCACAAAAACACTATAGCTCTCTCCTAGCATCCAGTTAAATGTATATTAAAATCCTATCAAATAGTAGAATAAAAACATCAAATCCAGTCTGCGAGTTTCTCATATTGTTTATCATAGGCTAATCCTTTAAATAGCATCTTTATTAGAAGGTAGAGCCAAGCTTCTAGCCACAAGGGTCCACGAAGAGGTATGGGAAGCCAGTGGCTGTTTCAGCCCATTTTCATCCACTCATAACCAAAATGTATGTTAGACTGACCCTCTAATGAGTGTATGAATGACACCAATTTCATTGTGCCATTTTTGTCATTCATATATTGCAGCCTAGCTTTATTGTCAAATATATTTATGGATTTGTGGTAATATTGGCACAGGAATTGTGAACAAGGGTGAAGATAAGTGTTAACGCTGATCTAAATCCTCCTATCCTTCACAGCTGAGTAAGATGCTATCTTAGCCTTTGTTTAGATCTGCAGTTGCTTACATATGATCATCTATGACAAAAACCCATTTGAGGGCTTGAAGGTTTGGTTTAGAGAGCAAACATAACCACCCTGGCAACTGTTAGTTACTCCAGATGCATGTCTTGATGTAACTATTTTGGGAAACCCCTAAATCGGTGTGTTTAATTCCGCTTTAAGTGGTGAATCAGTTTTTATTGGTATTTTCACAAAATGCACACAATTCAGTGCACAAAACAATAATTCCGCTTTGAGGATAAGTGGTAGTATGAAGCTTTGGTGAAAAGTGGGGGGTTAGGTAATATTTCAGGATTAGGGGTCAGTTGATGCTTAACCCTTTCGCTGCCAAGCCCTCCGGAACATTTTTCAAATCAGCTGGCCAAGCCATAAGTAGTGGGGTTAATAATAGAGGTGATGAAGGTGAATGATGCAGGGCTTCTGCACCAGAATCAATCACATCAATTTCAGATGCCAATAAAGCAATGCTTCTAAATTCCCTCTAGCCATACTATTTATAGGCATACATACCAGACTGCTTAATATTGACACATATGCCATACCAAAGGTAAATTCCATAACATGACAGTGTTTCACACACTGCCTTTCTCACAGGCAGGAGAAGTTTTTTTTTTGGTTCCAGTGACAAATGTCATCAGAGAGGTGTATGTACCTGAAACCACAAATATTCCCCTTTAATCCAGCGCATAGCTTTTTCAGTGTTGCGTTTCAATACCACTCTCAATTATGTATTTTTTATCTCCCTAGATATGTTCAAAAGGAAGACCGCTCTCCAATGGCAGAAGAGTACAGCGAGTATAAAAACATGAAGGCCAAACTCCGGCTGCTGGAGGTCCTAATAAGCAAACGAGGCTATTCACAGACAGTGTAACAAGTCTTTTTTTTCAGTCTGGAATAATTTTTTTTATCTCAGGACTCGAATCACTGAAAAGGAGCAGATTGCCAAGTGGAGCTCACCTGTCGGAATGTGTATAACATGGCCCATACAGCAGACAATGCTAGGATGGAAATAGGCCGGTTTCAAATGTAACAAGGTGGCTTGAAGGATGTCATAATCTTACTTGGCTGGATGTAATAAGAAGAGGCCCAGGACACTCCATATGAAAGGTACGACGAACGATAAAAACATTATCCACTCACTGGACCTAAAAGTAAAGGTGGGACCTGTACTCCAGTTCTGCTTTCTGCTGCTTTTTTATGAACCAAAACTTTGGTCAATGACCTTCCAGCGGCGACCTTTCACTGGTTCCAATATACTGATTACTCATCCCAGTAAGGATGGCTTTGGACACGAACCTGTGTTCTAAGGAAAGCTATGAAGCTCATATCGAGGACAAGCTAATACCTCATTTTAACACTACTTGGTTCTTTGTCAGTGACACTTGCCAGCATCTGTGGTATCGGATATGGACCAGGCTTGCAATAGATCTTTATAGAACCAGATCTTCATGGTGGAGAAGCAGCAGATCAAGACAACTGAGAAGACAAAAGACAATCGAATGAGCAGTTTCTGATAACCAGCTCATGCCAACTGCTTTAGTATGGAATAAACCGATTTTACTGACTGATTATTTTTTTTTTGCTACCAATCGTGTCAGTTAATGTATAACATAATGATTAATGTCTTTGGGGTTAGTAGATCTGCCTGCCCCCTCCCTTTTTTCTGCAGCATGCACTTTCTTCTTTTTACTATGACTGTAATTTATAATGTTCTCCAGTAAGGCTACATGCTTTAATCCAACTTCTGTGATCCACCCATAGAAACTTATGATTGTGTACTTTCCTGTCCTCTTACATTTCACGTGACCTTCTAAATCACCAGTCCGGGATCCCAGCAGCTTTCTGCTTGAACTTTACTATTCAAGAATTTAACTACAGTTCTGCCATCTTTAATCTCAACACTGTGGACTCTTCCATACCAAAAAGAAAAAGACAAGATCACTCCATACAAGACTTTACTAGCGCATGAGAATGATCACCGCTCGCATTACATTTGTGTGTATGGAAAAGCATTACAGAAAGTTGGGGTTTGTGTTCAAATCACTTTGGAATCAATTTGGAACATAGGTTAACCAATTGTTTGGGTGATTCTTGCTAGAGCTATGTTATGATAATGAGCACCATGATTTAACTTAATCACATATACTGGAGAGATGAGTCTACGCTTGCGGTACAGCATTGGTTTTTAAAATGCAATTGCGTTGATATCATCCACAGGAACTGTCTGCCATCTGTGTCATTTATAATAATGGTACATGGTCCTTTGTTTAATAAGGCAAAGTGCAATAACCCATATGGAAGGGAATTGGAGACCATCTTTCATTGGCTATTGTAAACGGCTGGAATCGCATTGCTGTGGGTTACAGCGCAGTAATAGTAGTTTGTCCATTTTGCACATCGCACAGTAAAAACATGCAAGGTACTTTAGCTACTCCACCTCCTTTTGGATGCTAAGCCATTTGACTTCTTTCTTGAAGTCCTTTTTAAGCATGAACGCAATTCTGAGGCACTTTTAGAAAGCATCATTTTGAAATGGTAAACTACAACTAGCGTGCAGCGAGCAAAGACCTCCTGTTCTGTAGTGGCGACTTTAGCATTAACAACAGGTATAGCTCGGTCCAACTGTCATGCAGCAAGCACTATATTGTATTGTTTTACATGTTATGTACACTTTCAGTTAAAAACTTTATTTGTGTTGACACTACAAAATTATAAGTACGTCCCTGTTGCGAGGTCCACGTGTTAACTGCACAATTTTATACATTCACGTCCCATATTTAACTGAGTGAAACATTTTTGATAGTATGATATTTTTAAGTGCGTCAACTTCATGCAGTTTCTTGTGAAGAAGGTATTAAATCTCTATTTTTATAATAAAAGTAGTAGCAGTATAACTAAGCTGTAGGCACGGTGCATCCAGCCAGCTCCCAGTGATGCCAGTATGTTAGGTCTCCTAAAGAGGAACTCTTTAGGGCAGTGGGGCCACCCCATGCACTGCAAGGGTTAAGTGCTTGTTTGCATCTAGGGTCTTAGGCCTGTGTGCGTTCCAGAGCGGTAGCCCTCAAGTAAGAAAGATATACTCACCCGAACCTTGGCTGCTAAAACAGTCCGGTAGCTTCTTTCCTCCTCCACTCCGACGGTGTTATGTCCCGCTGTGTCCTCATGTCCAATACACTCTATTGGATGTGATGACTCATGGGTTCTAAAAACCACCAGAGGGGAGAGGCTGCAAGGACTGGTCTAGAAGCCAGTCTGAGGTTCAGGTGAGTATTTCTTTGTTCAATGAGCACTTAACCCTTGCAGTGCTGGGGTAGCCCCACTGCAGCGGGTTAGGTTTTCTACTGCCCGAAGTTCTACTTTAATGATTGCCTTCATTATCACAATTAAATGTATTCTAGTTTGGCCTCCACAGTATAATCTATTTTGTTATGTGTGAGGTACTGGAGCCGACTTCACACTGAATGATCCAGAGTTGGTTTCCCTGGTAACTGCTTGCAGTGCCTACAGATCCAGAGCCTCATAACCTGCTTCCTGCATCCCATTAAAGCAGATCTTACAGTACAGAGCATCTGTAAAGTCTGGCGACAAATGTTTTTTTTTTTCAACTTGAACACCATCCTCCATGAAAAATAGCAGCATGGTAATATCATTAGGTTTGCTCTTCTGCCATTTCTCATGCCAGCTCTTCTATTTTAATGTAGTTTGGGTTCACAGACCAGTTTTGCTTCTCTGAGCACAATGGTTGAATTTGTGAAGTTTCAGGTAGATGTCTTATCACTGTGTTTTGGATGCATTTGGCTGTATACGCAGAGACACTAATCGGTGCCAGACAATCTCGAACACACACACTGTATGTCAGGTGTTTCACAATGACCAATGTCTGTAAAGTAACACTTGCAGGTTTATTTTAGAACATGCAAAGAGCAGTGACGATGTACAAGCGCAGCAGCAGCTGCAGCACATGGCTAACAATCGGGTTTCAGTTGAATTCTGAATGCTTGATATGGGTTACTGCACTTTGCACACGGTTTGCCTTGTTGAAGAAGCCCAATTATTATGTATATGCGTATGTGGTTGGTGATTGGAAAGATAATTGCACTAAATGTTTTTGTTTTTTTAAGAAAAAAAAATATAAACTCTGTTTGCAAAGAATATTTACCGATTTTTAAATCACGTGACTTCTATTAATCCGCTCTTACTGGTTTCTTGTTTTGGTTTTTGTTTAATAGCTGAAATGTACAACAAAATAATGTGGCTCGGCATGCTGGGATAGCAGATCTAGTTCCATGTGTCTGTAAGCTTGTTGTATTAAATAATGATCGTCATCATAAAACTTTCAGTGCCCTGGAAGGCTAGCACTAATGGATATTGCACACAGCAAAGCTTCCATTAGGCTAGGGCCTCCGTGCTTGGGCCACCTACATTGGTGACTATAGTTTGTCTTTAAGCCAGAGGTCCTTTACATAAGCCCCCCACACCAAATGCTACATCCGTCCAGGTTTTAAGAAAGAGCTTTAAATGTATCAAATTCCAAAAGCCAGTGACTCAATCGTTTCGTAGCTTGTTGTACAAGTAAGGGAGTCCACAGTCTAGTGAATGGAACCATTATGACAGGGGACAGGGCAGCTTTTGGTATAGGAGACCAGACAGCATTGCTGTACATGTAGCTTACTTCTTACGATGCCTATTATTATTTTTCTACAATTTAAACAATTGAGTATTTAGTGCATTGACCCACTTTTCTCTTTTTAACCATAACTTGCTCAGACTAGCAAAACAAAGTTGATATGCAACTTATCAAGCAAACTATAAAACCTGGAAAAATCTAATTTATACTTTGTACATCTCATCCTTGCTCAGTGCTGTTTATTTGCGGTCATTGCCAGACTAGTAATCACCATACTGAAATTGTATATGCACAGACTGCAATCAGACTACTACTCTTTGTATCTTGCATCCCCTAGACCAGTGGTTCTCAACCTGTGTAACCTCAAGACCCACATTTGTCCTTGGTCATTAAGTGGTGACCCAAGTCGCACTGCAATGTAACGCACTGCATTGCGGCACCGTGCGTTCCGGTGCGAGCGATTGAACTGTGGGCGGGAGGTGTGTTTGGGGTGCCATTACGAGAACTGGAGTGGATCCTCACCCAGGGGTCCGGTGCTGGGCTGCTGTGCTGTGACGGAGCTCCATCCATTCATACATGCATTGCTTGTACAACTCCCATGCGCGCCCTGTAGATGTCCCGGGAGCTAGAATGTGACGTCACTCCGGTCCAGGGACCTCTACAGAACACGTGAGGGAGCTGTAAGCAATGCATGTATGGCTGAAGCTCCCTCATGGCCTTAGCTCCAGGCCATGTCAAGCTGACACTCAACGCCAGGCAGCATATTCTGAATGGCTGCTCTGCGTGAGAACTGACAGTGCTGCGCTAGGAGGAGACTAAGAGACTAGAAAAGTGGAAGGCACACCGCCACCCACTGAACACGGGGTCCCGACCCACCAGTTCAGAACCAAGGATCTAGACATTACTGCACAGTGAAGCTGGGAGGTGGGGGAAATGCCCAGCCGGCGAGCCCTGTCTTATTAGTTTGGCATGCTTGCTCTGGTGACTACAATATTCCCATTTGATGACATTGGGTATTGGGAGCTGTTGCATTTCTATTGAAAGGACTTTCCTTTTTACATCTGAGTTTTTCAGCTTCTGTCCTAACATACCATTACCAGGTTTTGCATTTCAATCATGGGTGAGCAAATTCAAGTACAGGCACCATATTTGTGTTGGTAGGTTAAAGTCATCACATCTTGGTGCCAAGAAGCTGAGTAGGGAGTCACTGGGCAGTTTGTTTTTAAAACACAGCTAATAGACCTTTATTTTTAGAGATACCGTGCAGCCTCAGCCTGCAAGGAGACCATCCATGGCGGGGACCAAAGCTGTTTTTGCTTTTTGTCTCTTGCTCTGATGACCAAGGGACGCTTATAAATAGCGGGTATAGCAGAGATGCCACAGGTTGCCTAGAAACAATACAACTTTTTTTTTAGTGTGGTTTTAAACCTTGATTAGTTGATGCTGGCTAATATGATATTACGAATGAGGTCCACTCTAATAACTCACCTTCCAATGCAGCTTTTTTTTTTTCTCCAAACTGCAGGCCCCCCCAACAAAAAAAAAATATTTATTACTAGGTCTGATGCATATCAAGCTAGTTCTAGTTGTGGGGAAACAAAGGATTTGGTAAGCAGAGGTCATGTGACATGGTCCTTCTGATAATGTTACAGCTGACCGAAACTGTACAAGGCATTGAAATTCATCCAAAGACATTGGCCTTAGCAACTGGGATCTCTATCCTGTTCTGTAATCACACACCCACTATGTCATACTTTATAAGCAGAGCTACATCGGACTCTTTAAATATGCTTTGTAATATACCGGCATTGTGCTTGGTTATATAGA